AAAAATAAACATTGGTGGAACATACTGTATCGCAGCACTCATACAGCAAACTACAGTAGTGGTTTGACCTTCCTCGTCACTACTAATTGACCCAGCTTGCTTTATTTGCCTTCTTCCCTTTGGTGTACGAACACGAGATGGTTTGTGCACAGTTGTTATCCCAGTCTCGTCCACATTGTAGATGCGGTCCGGGGAAAAATTGTATTTTTCCATTAATGTTGTTACGTTGTCACAAAGCACATTTATATCTACTTTATTAAAGCTAGTACTCTATTATTCTTAATAGTCGCTTCTGGCTTTCTTAAGGACAATTTCTGAATGTCTCTTTAGGAAACCATATAGCTATTGGTTTGCACATGTTTCTTTTCTGACACTGACGTTGTTTCTTATAGTATTAAAGTACAGTACAGTATATTGGTAAGCAACTTTCCGTATTTTGCGTGTGGTTAATCCATAGAAAAAATTTGATAATTTAATTAGATAATCAGCTAGCATATTTTCCTGTTCTTTAGAAATAAGTGGTTTTTCTCCTAACGCAATTTTTTCTGGAAACTGATTTTTTCAAATGATCTTGCAGAGTACCATATGGAATCAAGTAGAGACTAGCTGCTTGTCTAATTGAACAGCATTTTTGGTTAACCGCATTTAATTCTCGGTTCATGCCCTTCTCTGTTCAGGACAGTTTTTCTTATATAATTGCCCATTTTTTTTCTTCTTCCTCCTTATAAGCAATTCTGCTTGTTCATTGGCAGATTAATACCTCTGTGGAAGGTTGTTACTCATCTTTTGTGCGGTCGTCCGATACTTCTTTTGCCGATTGGTGACTTATCTCTGATCTATTTTGACGACACGGGTCTCCCCCATTCTGATTATGTGGTTATTCTATTCTTATTTGTAGTGTCTATTTATGTATACACTGTACGTAACATTTTCTTTTAATGTTTTCACTTTTCATTTGATCTTTCAGCGTATTTCCTGTAATTATTATCAGTACTCTTATTTCTGCCGTTTCCAGTAGCCTTTGTGATGTGTCTGTGACGGGTCTTGTTTTTGAGACATGTCATTATTGGTCTTACATTGGCTTTATAAATTCTTGATTTCACCGCAGTTTTAATCTGCCTGTTTTTCCATAAGGTGTTATTAAGGTATCCTGCCAGTCTATTTGCTTTTTGTACTTGATCTCTCATTTCTTGCCCAGGTCTCCATAGCCAGATAATGTAATTCCAAGGTATTTTATTTACATAACTTGTTTAATTACTGATTCAACCAATTTACATTTTACATCTGGTTGGTTCTTTGCTTATTACTATTGTTTTAGTTTTCTGAGATGATATTATCCTATTAAATTCTTTGGCTCTTATGTTAAATCCGTAGACCAGTCTTTGCAGATATAATTTCTTGGCATCTGTAAATATTATATTTCCATTAAAAAACAAAGCATGCAATATTGACCACAGTATGGGGTAACGTCGATGGTCGTGATCGATATTACCCATGACATACATCAAAGTACTTCTTCTTCTTTCGTTTTATGTATTTTTATCAAATATTGTGCCTAACCTTAAAATTATGACAATGCGAATGCCACAATAAATAAATAATAATACATTAATAACATTGGTTAAAACAATTTTTCAAAACGGTAAAATTATACTCTGTTTTTTAACCAGGAGGAGTAAACCAAAAAAACAGATTCACACCCAAGAAAGTTACTAGAAAAGTCAACAAATACATCTTCTTTTTTTGTTGTATATCTCGGCCTTGCAGTAATCGAGTAATCAATATCGGACAACCTTACACGTCAATTCTAACCTAACTTTATATTTGAATAATATGTATTTTTTTTAATTCACTTCCAATATATATTACAATTATTACAATAAAAAGGACGTTTTTCACATTTGGTCCCATGCATATATATTTCAATATCGGGTGATCCAGTTTTATAGATTTTTTATAGACAGCGAGTCAATAATGTTACAGATCTAAGTATGGTTTTTCTCAGAAATTTGTCTTTTAATTTGCAAATAGATCTTATATGCAACAAAGCTATGCAAATGCATGTATCAAAAAGTTAGAGAGAGTTTAAAGATTTCTGAAATACTGTTCTTTTAAACTGCGTAGACCATATTCTTATTCTGGTGTGATTAATTTCTTAAATTTAGGTTTTTTTTCTTACCCGAAGAATTAACTTTGACTTTGATCATTATTTTTAAGCTTAATAATCCAATCTCCTGAATTGCTTCAGCCAGTTTGTTTAACATATTCCTTCTCATGCACTGCTTTAGAATTGACTTTTTCATGTTTCATATCACAGAATAAATTATGGTTCAAATATAGGTGTGGTCCTACTTTTCATACATGGTAATCAGTTACCTCATTAGATAGATTTAACTTATGTATCAATATCTTAAGGATCTATTTGAAGCACTAAAATGCAAAACAATAAATTTGTATAAATAAGTGTGTACTTGCAATTTCTTTAATGCTGGGTTCTTGTTTAATTTTGACAGTGAGTTTGTCCCATTTGGTATCAATAAATAAAATTTACTAAAAAATACTGGATTTCTGTGAGATAATCAACTAATTCAATCTATTTTGTTACATTCTAGTATAATTTTGCAGTTTTTTTGTGATAATCTACAACAGGAAGAACAAAACCAACTGTATCAATACAATCAAAGTAAAACACAACATTACTAATGTTCTTTTATTGTGATCAAAATAAAATGAAAATGCTTTCTAATAAGTATACACTAAATTTAAAAGATATTTGCCGTTTTTCTTATGATAATTAGATACAAATATACATTTATGAATTTATAAACACTATAAACTCTATTCGATTCGAAATCGATTTATATAATATTCTGTGCATAATATATATTCGGAATGAATGTAAAAATAAAAATTAATTGTGAAATGGGTAAAACATTCATAATATAGACAATAAATCAATCATCCTATAAACAGTAAGATAAACAATTTATAGTTTTGCTATGTAATATTTGCTGCATTGAATCTGCATATGTAAAGTAAAAATATCTTTTTTTTCCTTTTCTTCCCTTTCCATGTTCTTATATCTGTTTAATCAAAATACTTCACAACATTCCAGTAGAGTATACAAATAAAAACTTAAAACTTAATATGTATTTAATAGTAACAATAATATACCTGATTATAAAAATGAAATCTATAAAATGTTTTAGTTAATTTTACTATATAATTGTAGCTAACCCATATTTACATACCGATATTTGTACTTACTTCAAATTGATTTACTTCAAGAATTTATATAATAATGAACGACACATATTTTGGGAAGATCTGAGCGGTTGTTAATTTCACTTAAAATTTTACCTAAGTGAGTATTTCATTCTTGAAAAAGAAGCTGTGTACTATCTGTCGTATAGATGTTTTAACTGTTTTTAGGACATTTTACTGCTTCAGTCTGCTTATATTCTTTAATTGTTCTATATTCTATTGTTGTATATAGTTGAATTCGCAACACGTAAAATTAGCACATTACTTTAGTAAGTCTTGATTTTAATAATAACTAGTCTGTAAAACTAACCTGCTGCCTATTTTATTTTTACTACCGTGGCTGTTATTCTTATTCCAGAATTATCAATTTTCATGTTTGTACATGTTTATAGTACGTTATTTCTCATTTGATGATAAATGATCCAAATCTACTCGGCGCTTTTAAGGTTGAGAAGAACAATTACCACTAGTACTTGGCATTGAATCCATATTGTTATCTTAATAACACTAATATGTCGCTAAATAGTTCTGAAAAGAATTGTTTTTTATATAAATGCAAACGAAAAATCTAACGATGTAAGAAATAACACAGAAAATACAAAAAATTGTTGATATAAATTTTGAATTTTTAAATTTCACAAATGTCATTAGTGTCAATATGTCATAATTTAGTGAAGTAAACTTGCCTGCGCTTCGACCAATTACAAACAAGCATTATGGCGCGGAAAATTTGAATTACTCCTCCTGGTTTAAAAACAGACCATAGTACAAAATTTGCAAAAAAACAACTTTATGTAATATTTATAGAACTGCACGTCTGACTGATCACATTGATTTTCGGTAATTTCGGTAATCGATTTTTGGCAACTTTGTCGCAAGGTGGCAGTAAGTATTGGAGTACTGAAATTTACAATTTACTTTCAAAACATTGTAGTGGTCGATATTGTCCGCTGGTCGATGTTAGGTCATCTTCCCCTAAATATCAATGGTATCACGATATTTAATCGCTTTTTTGATGATTTTTTCTTGTACTGTCGGTACATCTGTATGCCGTGTGTGCTTAGTTGCATGCCAGAGAACATCTACAATTTGTCTTTTGTCTACACTTAATTTTCTTCTATTCGTTTTTCTTTTATGATATGTGTTGTTTCCATGTAAGTTTTTTTGTTTAGATAGGGGTTTATGTGCAATTCTAGATATATTACCATTTCGGTGTGTGGTATCAGTACATTGTTTATTATGACTATGGACCATGTTTATGTTATAATGTAACTGTTATCAGATTTTGTTACTGATATATTTATGGTGTATAATACATAAAATACTAGGCTTATAACACTGCCTTGTGGTACTCCACAACAGATAGGATGATAATCAGATGTTTCCTCGTTTTCCTTAATATCCAAAGTTCTCTTAGATAGTTAGATTCAATAAGGTGGTTTTTATTCCATTACACTACCACTAGACCTATAGATTATTATATTATAGTATTATAGAGTAAATATTGTAAATTTAGAAGTGAATGTTTTCTTCATCATCGGAGTATTACACATTACGATGCTCAGACGATTAGTGAAATGTATACTGATATTTTAATAAATATTTGTCGACATCAATGTATTTTTTTAATACTGTATACATTTCATTCTTATTTAAACAACTGTAATAAGATTTTTAAGTTTAATTTAAATATTTTATTTTAACAATGTAATCACTACTTCTCCTTTTTCTTCTAGGGTTCTCATGATTTTGGACTTATAGTAGGATCGGTCCTATCAGCACTGATAATAACATGTACTGTTAATCTTAAAAACAATTTACAAAATATTAAAAATGTCACAGACTCATCTCTGGATTCAACGGTAAGTACTGTTGATGTACATTTTAAATTATATCTAGTGGCATAGTTAATAGATTAGCAAAACAATTCCTTATCTTTGCCAAACAGGCTATGGATTTAAATGGATAGGAAACATGCTTATTCTACAACTAATAGAAACAAATGGGGAATAGTAATTAAAAAAGCAGAAATAAATTGAGAAACTTTACTATCGCGAACAAATTAAAAATCACGAACACAATCTATAGACGAAAAGATATTTATAAATATATATGGAAAGGTCGGGGGTGGGTACTGATATAATCTACTTCTTAAAATTCCATCTCTTATCGGAGGTTGGATATTATAACGGCTATGGTCTGCTGTTATCTTTGTTAGCTGCTGCTCTTAAAAGTTGTAGTGAACTACAGTTAAACCATTCTCTAAGGTTCCTCAGCCAGAAGATGCGTCTTCTTCCGATGCTTCTTCTTCCTTGGATTCTTCCTTGCATAATAATTCTCAGCAGCTCATATTTTTCTCCTCTGATTATGTACCCAAATACTCTAATTTTCTTCTTTTTATGCTTCTGTAACACCATATTTCGAACGCTTCTATTTTTCTTATGTGTTGTTTCTTTAATGTCCAAGCTTCCATTCCGTATAGTAAGATAGAAAATATGTAACATCTTAGAGCCCTCAATCTGAGATGCAACTGAAGGTCTCTGTTGGTAAGCATTCTCATCATTTTCACAAATGCTTGCCTTGCAGTTTCAATTCGGACTTTGATTTCTCTGCTTTGGTCATTTTTGTCATCAACCCAGGTTTCCAAATATTTGTATGTCTCTACTTTTTCTATTTGGGTTTGCTCTATCATTAATCTTTCATTTCCATGTTGCGTTTTTGAGACAATCATAAATTTAGTTTTTCTCTTATTTATTTTTAGTCTGTCTTCTTCTTCAAGTTCCACTCCTATCGGAGATTGGAAATCATTCTGGCAATTATAATTTTATTGGTTACTCGCCTGAATAGTTCAATTGAACTGCATCCAAACCACTCACGGAGATTGCGTAGCCACGAGATTTTACGTCTTCCTACGCTTTTTTTTAGTCCGTATCTAATGCAATAATCGTTAATTCTATTTACCAATTCTTGTACCGATTCCAGGGTGTCTGCCATTATAACGGTGTCATCAGCGAATCTTATGCTATTTACTATTCTTCCGTTTACAGAGATTCCATCACCCAGATCCGCTATCGCTTCCTGGAATATGGCTTCACTGTACACGTTAAACAGTAATGGTGACAGAACACAGCCCTGTCTTACTCCTCTCTTTATATCTATATTTTCGGACTTTTATTCTTCTATCTTTATATTGACTTTTTGATTCCAATACAGATTAATAATGATTCGTAAGTCTCGTCTGTCTATATCTTTGTTTCTAAGTATTTCTATTAGTTTTTCATGTCAGACCCTGTCGAATGCCTTCTTGAAGTCGATGAAATAGGAATAAATATCTAGGTTCATATCTAAGCATATTTGAGAGAGGACATTAAAAGCAAACAATGCCTCTCTCTTTCCCAGTCCCTTGCGGAAACCAAACTGAGTATCGTCCATATCCTTTTCTAGTTTTCTATATAATTTTCCATGAATCACCTTTAGAAATATTTTGACGGTATGGCTTTTTAGTGATATTGTCCTATATAGTCTGAACAATCTTTGGCATATACTGTTTTTGGTATTGCTACAAAGGTGGACACCAACCATTCCTGTGGGATTTTTCCAGCTTTTGAGTACTTCATTAAATAGGTCCAGAAGTACAGGTAGAGTTTCATCGTCTAGACATTTTAGTAGTTCCGTAGGTATTTCGTCTGGACCTACAGTTTTTCTGTTTTTTGCGTTTCGTATTTCTTGTTCGATTTCCTGTATTATAATCTCTGGTCCCGTTTCGCTGTCGATTCCTTCCGGTTCTTGCCGATTATCCTCAAACAGATCTGTTATGTATGTCTCCAATTTTTTAAATTTCTCTTTAATTTCTATAATGATTTCGTTATTTGCGTCTTTCAAAAGGGCATCTTTCTTTTTTCTCAGTCTATAATATGTCATTTCCTTTATTTTCTTATGCATGTTAAAGCTATCATACTGTTAAGCATATGCCTCTATTTCACTGCATTGATTAGAAAGCCAGGAGGATTTCACCTCTTTTATTTTCTTTCCTATCAATCTCTGTAGTTTTTTGTATTTTGCCTTACTCCTGCCTTTATGTTTCCTTCTTTCCTCCATTAGATCTAAGATGCACCTGTTCTAATTTTTTGTAGTAAAAATGATAAAATATTAACTAAAAGTGAGGTTATTCTCAACTATTCGTAACAATTTTTTAAACAAATTATTATTATTCATTTGTAAAAAGTTTTTATATGTCAAAGGGACTTCTATTAATAATTCTTCATTCAACATATTTAATATTCCTTTGCCTACCCCGCTTCTCTGGATCCATTTTTCTTCTTCATATACGCGTTTTTAGGAAGCGTGTAATTAATTATCAATTATCAATTAAAGCTGTGCTTTGCTAGCATCATTTTTTACCTGTGCGTTTTGTTTATTCTAATCATAAAACAAACGTCATTGTTAGATTATCAATACAAAATTGGTAGAGCGCAGATAATTGCAAACACAAACTTTATTATAATATTTTTAGTACTGAAATCAGTACTGAAATTAGCATAATGGCAAGCGGTCATAAGGAATAAAATGAGACTATTTAAAAAAATAAAAATTGTACCACAGCATGTCCCAGCAGCGGATCTACCCCCTGTTAATTATATATAAATATTATTAAAACATTCAGTTTTTTTATTCAAAGGAATAATTATGCGTTTTTTAAAATTACACTATATGAATTATATAAATATATTTTATTAGTACTAGACTTTTCCCGGTGAAGTGGTACTCTAAAAAAGACAAGTAGAGTAGATGGCCGATCGGCCGTCCCTCTAAACAATGCTGGATCCGCCACTGGTGTGTTCAAAAAAGTATTCAAAAATCTATTCTTAAATTAACGAAATTACAATTGATTAAAATTTTATTTAAAATTTAAATAAACAACGTAAAATGCAGATCAGTTGCTTTAATTTTCCTATCATCATCATCATCTAGCCTCTAACGTCCACTGCTGAACATAGGCCTCTCGCATGCTTTTCCACTTAGTCCGATTTTGCGCCATCTGAATCCAATTTGTAGTCACTCTTTTTATGTCATCTGTCCATCTCGTTGGGGGTCGACCTCTATTTTTGTTAGCTTGTATTCGGGGTTTCCATTCCAAAATTCTTTTTGCCCACCGGTCATCAACTGATCTTGCTACATGACCTGCCCAGTTCCACTTTAGTGTTGTTATCCTTTCAATAACGTCTGCTACTCCTGATCTTTTGCGTATGATGGCATTGGGTATTCTATCACGTAGAGAAATCCCTAACATTATTCTCTCCATTGCCCTTTCCGCAACTTGAAGTTTACTTACTGTTGTTCTTGTGAGTGTTAGGGTTTCTGCGCCGTAGGTCATCATTGGCAAAATACACTGATTAACTACTTTTCTTTTCAAACACATTGGAATCTTAGATCTAAAAACATCCTTCATCTTTCCCAAATGCGGCCCAAGCGAGGTTTATTCTTCTTTTCAGCTCGATTGTTTGGTTGTCTCGACTTATTCTGATCTCATGGCCCAAGTATTTATAGGAGTCAACTGGCTCAATATCTTTGGCTTCTACTGAGATGTTTTTATTGTGTCATAAATTGTGTTTTTGAAAAATTTATTTTAAGACCGACTCTTTTTGTGGCAGTATGGAGTTCTTGGAGCATTATCTGTGCCTGATTAAAGCTGTCTGCAATAAGAATGATATCGTCTGCAAATTTAAGGCTATTTAAAAATTTTCCATCTACATTGATGCCCTTTCCGTTCCAAACTATTGTTTTACAAGCGTATTCTAGCAAAGTTGTAAATAATTTAGGAGACATGTTGTCGCCTTGCCGAACGCCTCTTTCAATACGAAAGGTACGTTACTTCGTTAAGTCTTACACAAGCTGTATCATGCTGATAGATGTATCTGATGAGGGATATGTATCGGTGATATATTTTACATTGTGTTAGAGCTTGGAGCATTTCACTTTGATTGACCGTATCAAATGCTTTTTCAAAGTCGACAAAGACAACTATCAGGGGTCTATTATATTCAATGATATTTTCAATTAACGACTTAATAGTTTGCAAATGATCATTTGTTCCGTATCCAGCTCTAAATCCTGCTTGCTCGCAAGGTTGATAGCAGTCTAATTTTACTATATTCTCTCTTAAACGATAACTCTAACGACCAGCTTTTGATTACCCGAGTGTTGGAAAGGATAAAAACTAGTAGAATGATGTTTACCAAACTTTAATATCAGTCTAATAAATAATATTAATGTTTGTTTTAAGGTATGTGCCGAAAATTCCAGTTACCTTATTCCACACTGCCAAAATAACACAGATTTCGGATCGTCTAATAATATCTACGACTACAGTGCTTTTTTAGATGATATTTTTGATACAACAGAAGACGGTAGACTTTGTGGTGCGCAGGCGTGCCCTGTTTCTAGTTCTTCTATTAATTCATCTCTGATATTAGAGTCTGGATTTAGTATTTTACCAAGAAGAACTGCAGACGTGTTAGTTATAGTATATGGAGCAATGTGTGGTATTGCATTAATGCTAGCAGTTTTTAGCTTTCAAAGAACAAAGATGCTAGCTTATCAGGTTGGTATCTATTTTTTTCTGACTTTTATAACTTTATAAAATTTATTCAAGAACGACTATTACAACAAGCCGGGATCCATGATAATTAAGACAATTGACAAGTTTCAAAACTACTTGACCCTGTCACTAGTTCACGCTTACTATAGTAGAAGCAACAGTTAGAATACAGTGTTGGTGTTACTGCGCGTCGATACCGCACATGTCGTGAGAGTGGTAGGTGTGTGGTAGTTTGGCGATAGACTGAGAAATCAGGACCGTACACACTTCGTTTAAAAAGATCTTTACTCATTAATAAAAGAATAAAAATAAATAAATTGAATCTATAAAAAATACCTAAATACATAAAATATCTAATACCTCGTAGATACTTATATACATATATACAAAAAGCATACGATACGATAAATATACATATATATATATATATACATAAAATACACAAGAAGATCATAACTGAATTGTCTTAATTAATTGAGCGTTAAATCAGAGAAAATCTGAGACATTTCTTGTTAATTAATACTAATCGCAATCCATATCTAAGTCGTCCTCATAATCTGAATCATATCCTATACTTATTATAACCGATTCAATATCTTTCTGTAAATTGTCCATCGCAAACATTTCTTCTTCTACTTTCTTGACGTGGTTCAGATAATTATGCCACTGCTCTTTAGATACGCGTTGGTAAGCTTCTTTTATCAACCGTTCTACTGTTTTTTCATTAAAATCGACGTTGCTTGAAGCCACATACCTTTTCACTTGACTTCACAACATCTCAATTGGGTTCAGCTCGCAATGGTAAAGCGGCAGTCTCAAAATTTTAATGACATATTTTAATGAAATCGTTTCAGTTTTGTAATTGTCGTCCTGGTCTCTAAATGAGACCGCAGTAATCTTTCTCGAAGAAAATGTTCTCTTCGATTATTTAATCCTTGATTTGTCCACAATTCTTCGAGAAATTAAATTTGTGGGAGTGGTATGATTGTCTTTCTGCAAGTTTGAAAATAACGTCTTCTCAAACCATTCTCCATATAGATCCCCGTCCATTTCGTCGTGGTAATCAGCGGTTTCCTTTGATTACCAAGAACAAACTTAGAATCAAATTGGATTGGAGCTTTCAGTCCAGTAGAGAGCCAGCCCTTTTATGAAGGCATCTCGTCGATTCTTGATCGTTGTGTCCCTCCATTCCGTTTTGACTGACGCACCGACGTTAGTCCAAGACTCATCGGTATAAACAAGGTTTACTTTATGCTTTTTCCCTAATGTTTTTATTTGTCTGAGGTACTTGTGTCCCCAGAATATATCTTTTCTTTCCATCATTATCGAATTTCGACCTCTTTTACCATATTCAAAACCCATGATATTTAGTGGCCTATATATATATATATATATATATATATATATATATATATATATATATATATATATATATATATATATATATATATATATATATATAACACTGTTTTTGATGGGTTGGAGTCAATAAAAGGGGCTATTTGTTGACTATTTTTTACTCGAGCTTTCAATTGTGATTACAATTTTTATCAAGAGCTTCTAAAAAATACAAAATGTCTTACAAAGTTGAACTAGAAATAAAAAATTTTTTTGTTAACTCACCAAATAAAATTAGTTTTCTATACAAAACTACTGCTTACATATTAAATACAAAAAATATTAATAAAAAAAATGTCTTATTCTAATAAATGTTTCTCTGACAAATTTAGATGAAGTTTCTTAAGAAAAAAAAAATTGAATTTATAAACAGAAATAGAATAGCTACAACACCAGCCTAAATGTTATAAATACTAACTTAAAAATTTTTATTTTTGACATATTGTCAAAAATAAAATTTTGTTTAAAAAATTCTTCTTTGTTTAGTAACAAAAAAGAAGAAGATTTATTCATCATTGATAGATGCCCGAAAAAATGTAACAAATACATGGAAAATTCAAAATGTGATATTTTACTGACTGCATAAATTAAATAGAAATTATATAATTATAAATTTTGCTTAAATTTTGAATTTCTGACCTTTTGTTTAAATTATTATCACTTTTGCTAATACAAACCATTTCCAAAAAAGTTCTTTTAAATTTATTACTTTCATTACATAAAATTTTAATATTATCAAAATCCATAATATGGTCTTTGTCTATTACATGCTCTGCCAAAGCACAAGATGGTTTCTTAATTCTACAATCACTCTTGTGAGAAATAATGCGATTTGAGAGATTTCTTCCAGTCTCACCAATATACTCAGCTTCACACTGAGTACAAACAATGCTGTATACTACATTTGTTTGATCTAATTTGTCTATAGGATATTTAGTTTTGGAATATAAAGATGAAATAGTTTTGAAATCTTTTTTGGAAATGGTTTGTATTAGCAAAAGTGATAATAATTTAAACAAAAGGTCAGAAATTCAAAATTTAAGCAAAATTTATAATTATATAATTTCTATTTAATTTATGCAGTCAGTAAAATATCACATTTTGAATTTTCCATGTATTTGTTACATTTTTTCGGGCATCTATCAATGATGAATAAATCTTCTTCTTTTTTGTTACTAAACAAAGAAGAATTTTTTAAACAAAATTTTATTTTTGACAATATGTCAAAAATAAAAATTTTTAAGTTAGTATTTATAACATTTAGGCTGGTTGTAGCTATTCTATTTCTGTTTATAAATTCAATTTTTTTTTCTTAAGAAACTTCATCTAAATTTGTCAGAGAAACATTTATTAGAATAAGACATTTGTTTTATTAATATTTTTTGTATTTAATATGTAAGCAGTAGTTTTGTATAGAAAACTAATTTTATTTGGTGAGTTAACAAAAAATTTTTTATTTCTAGTTCAACTTTGTAAGACATTTTGTATTTTTTAGAAGCTCTTGATAAAAATTGTAATCACAATTGAAAGCTCGAGTAAAAAATAGTCAACAAATAGCCCCTTTTATTGACTCCAACCCATCAAAAACAGTGTTATATTTTTTCCAAACGAGTCACAAGTACTTCTCTTTTTTCTTATATATATATATATATATATATATATATATATATATATATATATATATATATATTGTTTCATGTACATCACGCTCTGTACCCCCATTACAGTCAATTATGCTGCCCAGATATACAAATTCCGCTACTCTCTCAATTTTCTGGTCGTTGATCATAATAGGTTGGTTGTTTCTGGTACCAAATCGCATTTCTTTGGTTTTGTTGATGTTTATTTCTAGACCAACCTTCTTTGATTCTTCTTGTACTTTGTTTACTTGGAGTTGCATGTCCTGTTTTGTATATGCTAGGAGGCATATATCATCAGCGTAATATAGGTCTTCCAGTCTGTTTGTTAATCCCCAGTAAATTCCTCTATTAGAGTTTACCTTTGTTAGTACGAAGTCCAGTACAATGTTAAATAGTATGGGGGATAAAACACAGCCCTGCTTTACTCCGTTTAGCATAGCTATTGGGTCAGATGTTATGCCGTTGTGTAGGATTTTGCTTTCTGTGTCACTGTAGAGTTCTTTGATGAGATTTACTATTTTTTCTGGTATTCCTATTTCCTGCAGTGCTTTCCATATGGCCGTATGTGTGAGCGTGTCAAAAGCTCTCTTGAAGTCCACAAAGCACACAAAGAGAGGAGAGTTAAATTCCTGTGACTGTTCTACAATTATTCTTAGTGTGTTAATTTGGTCCACGCATGATCTGTTTGGTCTGAAACCGGCTTGTTCCTTCCTCAACATTGGTTCTACAGTTTTTGTTAGTCGGTTGTTTATAATTATTGCTGTTAATTTATTTATAGTATTCAGAAGTGTGATTCCTCTCCAGTTTTCGCAATATCTTCTGTCGCCCTTTTTTGGTATCTTTATTATTAATCCCGTTTTCCATTCTTTGGGGAACTTTTCCTCTCTCCAAGCCCTTTTCAAGAGTGGTTGGATTAGCTCTGCCACTGTACCTGGGCAAGCTTTTAACAACTCTGGTGGAATATTGTCAGGGCCGGCTGCTTTGTGTGCTTTCAGTTTTTCTATGGCCATTTCTATTTCTTGCGTTGTTGGTTTGTTGGTGTTAATTCTCAGTTGGATATTGAGTATTAGGTTTTCTGCGTCTTCTGGTGGTGTTAGGACTGCACTTAGAGATTCGCTAAAATATTTATGCCATCTTTTGACTTATTCCTGTGGCGCTGTAATATCTTCACCTGTAGCACTTTTTACAATTGGTTGGTGGGTAGTATATCTTTTATTGGCTAGTTGTTTAGTAATATTATATAATTGTCTCATGTTTTGATGTTGATTGGCGACTCGCGCTTCTTGGACAAGATTTTCTGCCCACTTTCTTTTGTCTTCCTTTGCTGCCTTCTTGACAGCTTTATTCGCTTCTCTATTACTTTCTCTAAGTCGGTTCTTCTCTGCTGCTGTCTTGGAATTTAGTAATTCTAGATTAATGTGTTTGCGACGTTCTATTTTGTTCCACGTTTCTCTCGTAATCCACTCTTTCTTTACGTCTTTCTTTAGGCCCAGCACATTTTCACTTGTTTCCACAAGGGCTTTGCTAATCGTTTCCCCAATTTTTGTCCTGTCTTTCGTCGATTTTGGATCTCAGCTGTCGTGCGAATTCTACTTTCGTCTCGTTATTTTGTAGTTTCTCAATGTTGAACTTTTTTCAAATAGGTTTGTTCAGTTCTTTTCTATTCCTAGCTATTTTGAATCTAATTTCGACCATCATCATGTAGTGATCACGGGCCGCATCTGCGCCTCTCCATGATATGACATTTAAGAGAGATGTTCTCCATTGCTTACTGATTGCAACGTGGTCGATTTGATTGTAGGTGCGGTTATCTGGCGATTTCCATGATCCTTGTGGATTGTTTTGTGTGGGAATAAAGTCCCTTCAATGATTAGGTCATGGTTACCACATAATTCAATGAAGCGTTCGCCGTTGTTGTTTCTCTGGCCAGTGCCATGCTTTCCGATAACGTGTCCTAGGTTGGTGTTGTCAGTGCCAACCTTGGCATTGAAGTCTCTTATCATTATTGTTATATCGGATCTTTTAATTTGTTCTAATGTTGCTTCAAGGCATTCGTAGAAATCCTCTTTTTCTTGTTCTGTTGCTTGTTCTGTTGGTGCATAGCACTGAATCAGTGTTACCAGTCTTAATTTGGTCCTAATTCTTGCAGTGATTATTCGCTCTGAAACTGGTTTCCATTCCACAAGAGAATTTTTTGTGACTTTACTAAATAGAATTCTTACTCCATTTTCATGTCTTCCGCCATCTGTTTTACCAGAGTATATCAGCAGGTCGCCTTCCATGTTGACGTGCTCTCCCGTCCCATTCCACCGTGTCTCATTGAGACCTAGTATATCGACTTTATATGCTTTCATCTCTCTACAAATTTGGGCAGGGCGTAATGCTTGCATCATAGTTTTTATGTTCCAATATCCGATTCTTGTCCGTTTACGTAAGCCAAAGGTCGTTATCAAAGGATCCGTCCGGTTGTTCTCTGTAGAAGTTTCGAAAATCTAGTAATTTGAGGCGGATAGGTAATTGGCCTCTCGCGCCCGATTCTGATGCCGGGGCTGCCAGCTCTAGCCATCAGACTGGCCTCAGGAATTCCTGGTAGCTTAATATAGGTAGCCTAATATTGGTTTTTGAAAAATCTGGTAGGTCCTCATCATCCTTTACTCTTTTCATTATCCTGTGGACGGTTGGGGGTATGTTTTCCAAAAAAAAAATCATGGACAATCTTCCTTATTCGAGATTTCACTCCCTCATCGTAAATAATCTCAGGTGAACTAGGCTGAAAACTGATTTTTTTTTCTTTTTTGTATCGGTTTCAGTTCGCCTTGCTGGGCCTTTTCGCGGATGTTATAAATTTTGCGAACACTCACACCGCACATTTTCAAAACTTTTTCCACAGTAATAGTAAAGCTGTCACCATTTTTTAAGTTCAGATGATAGTTCAATACATTTAACACCAGACGTTTTACTTGCTCACTAAGAGTCATAGGTACCCTGCTTTGAATTCACGATAGATACTGGCATCGGCTTCCTGATGTATGTACTTTTATTCGCTTGTGAAAATAAAATAGAACTGAGCTTTCACAGTTTTTATCAACAAGGTCTAATGGCAGTACCCAAATCGACAAAGAGACATGTTTGTTTTGGGTGGATAATGGGGATTAAAACTGATCCGCTTCTCCGCATACCTTTATAACAATCTTTATTTCCCAAATATTGTATTTACAATGGAAGCTATTGAAAATTGATAAATATAGAGAAGCTATTGACAATAATTTTTTGATATATTTTACTTTTTTTATAGTATTTTCCTTCACGTTATTATTTAGTTCGACAATTTAACTCTCTTATTTATACATCGATGAATGAATCATGCTTTAGTTGAAACATTAATGATAGTCTTTTATACAACCGTAGGCAATTGTGTGTGCATATATTCTATTGCTATGATTCTTAAGTCCGGTCCTGATGTGCCGATCGGGGTAAACCGGCAATGTGGTCGGCCGTTCTCAGGTAAGAAATACATTGCTTATTATCTTACATGCACTGCATTGTAACTGTGGCTTCTACTATAGTGACAGGGTACTTATTATCCATATACAGTATTTATTCCTCTTTTAACTACAACTTATAATAGATTTACTTAATCTAAAATCCTAGCCGGTTTTTTTACACGATCTAATTTACGTACTATATTTAATTGCGGTGTTCCCATCTTAAACTGTCATCGGATACTTGTTAATTCGACCTTTAGAACTAGAGACTTTATCTTTACTTCTGAAAATATAGCTTCTGGCTGGCGTTAAGCTAACTCTGTGCTTGTTGCAATATTTCAATAACTTTTCCATAGGCTAAATCTTCCTCTGATTAAAGTTTGCTTAAAATCGCTTCCGATCTTAATCCACAGACAAACATGTCCCTAAGTGCCTTTGTGAATAATGTAAAAATTTCAGCATATTTTGATAATTTCTTTAGTTTTTCCATAAAATAAGTTAGATTTTTTAAACTAATTTGCGAACAATTATAAAATTTATATCTCTCCGCAATAGTCTTTTTGGACTATATAATGATCTTTTAATGTTTTATCCAGTTCGGCATACTTTTTTGTACTGGGTTTTTAAGTGACAAAGAATATTATATTAAACCATATTCTTCTCCACCAATTAGTCAAAAATAAGAGTACCCTTTTTTTTGTTATATTGCCTTTCACACTAAAAACTGTTCCTTTCTATTTAAATAATTACTAATATCGCCTTCGTTAGGATTAAAAGCTTCGAAATGAGTACCAACTCTCACAAAGCCCCAGTGGAAGTATGCACATATTATAATGATTGGAAGTCAGGTAAATTGCCTACTAAACCTTCTTCCTATCGTCCAATAAGCTTGTTACCCTTGATGTCCAAAATATTTGAAAGATTCCTGCTAAATAGAAACTGAACCACTCTAGAACATAATACCCGAACGTTAGTTTGGTTTCCGTCAAAAATATTCAACATTTCAACAGTGTCATAGAATAGTAAATAAAATTAAAGAAAGTTTGAAAGAAAAGACTGTGTGTGCCTCAGTATTTCTTGATATTTAGCAGCCTTTTGATAAAGTCTGGCACAACGGTATGCTGTATAAATTTAAATCTTCACTGCCTAGCGATATGTACCATATCCTGAAGTCTAATATTAACGAACATTCGTTCCAAGTAAAAATCAATCATTATTTCTCAACCTATCACTCAATCCAATCCGGAGTTCTTCAGGGAAGTTTCTCGGTCCCTTTCTACATGAAATCTTTACTGCTGGCATACTTATTACAGATAAGGTCATAGTGTCGACTTTTGCCGATGATACAGCCGTTTAAGTTTCAAACAAAGACCCAGACAATAGCGTCTAAAAAGCTGCAAAATTACTTGCATCCATTAGAGAATTGGTTGACAAGATGAAAAATTAAAGTCAATAACGAACAATCAGCCCAAATTACATTTACAACAAGAAGACGCACTAATCTACAAGTTAATCTAAACAATGCCCCCATTCCAGCTAGATATGTTGTGAAATATCTTGGGTTGCATTTGGACCGAAAGCTGACCTAAAAGTAATACATTAACATTAAAAAAACTCAGCTCAATATAAAATTAAAATAAACGAATTTGTTACTTGGCAGAAAGTCACAACTATCATTGGAGAACAAAATACTGCTTTACAAAGTCATATTAAAACCAATGTGGACTTACAGCGTAAAACTCTATGGCTAAACAAGCCTTCCAACACAAAAATTTTGCAGACGTTCCAATCAAATACACTGCGTATGATAGCTAACGTCCCTTGGCATGTGGGCAATGCAACCATCCACAATGACCAGAAGCACCAACTGTAAAAGATATCATATCACTTCATGCCAACAAAGCCAAAATTCTTAATTCAACGCACCACAGCCAAACTATCAGTGAATTATATCAGTCACCAATGGAGGAACGAGGACTGAAGAGGACTTGGTCAGAAGACCTGGTTACATAGGTGAAACGTCAAGTCAATATTGTCATCACATTTAACAATTTCTCAATGTACTATTTATAAGTAGATTGTAAATATGCAGTTGAAAAATAAAAAATAAGCTTCGATTAAACTTATTATTTTGTTGTGGGCAAACAGACAGTTGCACACACAGACTTGTCTTCCTTTCTGAAATTAAAACTAAACTTTGGGATTATCCTTTTCTTATCCTATCGTCGCCAATAGGTTATGTATTCATAGGACTTCTACAACTTAAAATTTATTCAAGAACGACTATTACAACAAGCCGGGATCGATGATAATTAAGACAATTGATAACTGTTAAAACTACTTGACTCTGTAGTTTCGTTCATGGTTACTAGTGACATGGTAATATTATTCATATACAATAGTATTGTTCTTATTTATATTTATTATCGTAATGCTCTGATAAATTTAAAATTTTACTTAGGAACCAATGGAGAAAGGAGAAATAATTTCGGCTATAAGGGCAGTTAAGGAAAGTTTTAGAGATATAAGACTGCAAATGGCTGCCCCGCTAGCTGTTTTTATAGGAATTGAACAAGCATTTATGTATGCTGGTTTTAGTAAGGTAAGTATAAATCTTTGTGGTAATATAATGTGTTTCAATATAAATATGTTTCATTATTAGAATTAGAACAAATAATTTATAAAACTGACAGTAAAAAGAATAAAGTGAAATAATATAGTTATTACGAACATACATTAAATTTCTTTAAATATTCAGGGATTCTACAGTATTCACTGCCTTCTCTCGCTCAACCGTTTCCATCTCTCTCTGTTGCCCCCTTCACCATCGTTTAGGCCTCTCTTACTGATTGCGTCGTCTACTTCCTTCCTCCATCTTCGGGGTCGTCCTCTTTTCCTCCTTCCTATTGGGCTCCATTCGGTTATTCTCTTTATTCATCTGCTGTCTCCAGTTCTTCTTACATGTCATGACTAGAGTGGTATATACCACTTTAGTCTTTTTTGTTCTATATATGTTAGTATGTCTGTTTCTATTGATGTTCTTTGCTTTATTTCGTCACTACTTCTCCTATACATTTTTGTTACTCTGCAGCATCTTCGCAGGCATTCAGACAATTTTCAGCCCCATATGTCATAATATTTATCACTAATGTTTTATAAATCTGTGTTTTTGTCTTCATATGTAGGTGTCTATTCCACCATACTGACTTAAGTTGTGGGATTGCTGTTCTTGTTTGTCCTAATCTTTGCATGATTTCTTCCTCTGTTGCTGCCTTTTTCGTGATTATAAACCCCAAGTATTTAAATTTATCCTTTCCTTTGATTGTTACATTGTCATCAATCTGTAGATATTCTATGTCTTCTTCATAAGTAGATAGGTACTCTGCGTAGATAGGTGAAGTCTCCTATGATTCTTGTTCCCAATTTAATAGACACTTTATTTTCTTTATACAGAGCTTTTGTAGCTTCTATGAATTCCTTCTTTATTTCTAATTTGTACATAGCGTTCAACAGTTTTGACCTTGGTACAGAGTCATACGCGTGTTACGCGTGTTTATATATGATAGATCTCAAATATGTAAACACGCATGGGCTAATGAACATAGGGTTTAATGGAATAATTCAAATGTAGTCCTAAAAGAAACGGATGGTAAAAAAAGAAAAATCAAAGAAGCGGCTCTAATTATGCTAAATGAGGCCAATTGTGTCGCAAATTCCTCGGCAGAATGTAGTAGGATCTGGTTACCAATATTGAAAGAGGAAGTTATTAATAAGAAAAATACCAGTATTAGTAAGTTAGTAACATATAGAAGATACATCATTTATGTTTTTTAAATAACGTAACATATAAAATCAGAATTTTGATGTTTGTTCAAAGTAAACTAAATTCACGAACAAATACTTACATGTCGGGATAGTATTATGAGGTTTTTTTCCTGGTTTTTCCCTCATAATTTACTATGGAATCACTAACAGGAGAATTTTACTGTCATCATGTCATGTGTTTGATTTTTTAAAGACGAATTACATGCTATGATTTTTTTCTGACGGATATTCTCAAGTTAAAGTTGAGTTCATGTAATCGAATGAATTATCTTATAAGTAAAGTCATCCCAGGAGCGCAACTCAACAATATTGGCAATATCATTTTAAAGTCGTCTACTTTAAAATGCATAATGTATGTCTGAATTGTTAATATAAATGAGTCAGATAAAATTAAATTATTAGAAGAATTTTGCACTATGTAATAAAAAACAAAATTTGTTTAATTTACTGTTTGTATTTTGAGAACGATTTCCGAAGTGGAAATTGAAACGTCAATAAACGTATTTTTATCTTGAATTGTGGCTTATTCCCAGTTAAATAGTAATTAATTTACAATGCCACAAGAAAATAGCTTCAGAACAATATTATTTAACTTGTTTATTAATTAATTTTCCTCTCATTCCAAATATTGCTTACCATGGTGCTGTGTGCTAAATTCGCTTTTTTTTGAGTTTCTGGTAGTCTGTCTATCTATATTATAGTACTCCTGTCATTTTGTTGATACGTTTTATAAAATTACCAACCCTAGTATTTAAATTTTCAATTACTCTGAATTTCTACATTTACCTTAATTTCTAGGTATTTCTTCTTCTTAGAGTGCCGTCTGCCTACAGAGGTTGGCAATCATAATGGCTATTTTTATTTTAGAACTTGCTGCTCTAAACAAATCAATCGATCTGCATTGGTACCAATCACGTAGATTCTTTAACCATGAGTTCTACCTTCGGCCAACAGATCTTCTTCCTTGAATTTTTCCCTGTATTATCAGTCTCAAAATTTCATATTTTGGTTCCCTCATCACGTGGCCTAGGTATTCCAGTTTTCTAGGTATTTCAGTAGATGGCTATTGCTTTAGATAGGTACTCGGTTTCGTGTAGATTTATTTCTAGTTCATTTTTTGCTTATTCGGGTTTTTGTTTTCGAACTTGATGGTCTCCAAAACTTAATATATATAAGAAACTGTCTGTAATCGAATCAGTACTCCCATATCTCCAAATTTTGTTTTTTTGCATTACTATTTATTTTAAAAATATTTTTAATGACGTCGGAGACATAGACTATCCTTGTAGTAAGCCATTTGCGAATATAAATTTCTTTTATTATTAAAAGAGTATTTATTTCCGATTTTAACTTTTATCATGTTGCTGTTTTATGGCTTCTATTAATCCCTGGATCATTCCAATCGTGTATTTATTTTATCGTTTGCCATAGTTGATTTCTGATGATTGTATCATATTCTTTTCTTAACACATTCGCTACCAGGGGTGTATTTAGGTTTCGTCCTGCTGGACCAAACATAGATTATGACAAATTCACTAAGAAAAACCATTTCTGATTGTAACTTACCTAATCTGAGATAAAAATATGAAATTCCTGTGGGATTTGTTGATGCGGCTCATATATGAGACGCTGGTCTATATCATAACTGGTAATATTATAGACCATATTTCTCATATATGAGACATAAAAAAACTTACAACTTTCAATAAATTTAATTATATTTATGTCACAACAGATATAAAATAAGGTATTCTGTTAAAAAAGACAAAAAAAAAACAGGAAACTAAAAAAACCAAATCTGATGTGTGTGGTAAAAAAAAGCATTTACTGGTTGCCTTCGTGATACTCTTGAAAACATGGATCTACGCACAACCCAATCAATTGTTCAGATTTGTCTTTACATTTCTCGCAAACAAAGAATGTCAGGGTCCTTTTCTTTTTTGAGGAACAAATCCGACACCTTCTTCGTTTTTCTGCTTTTTTGGGATAATGAGATGAAGGTTTTACCTGACTTTTCCTTGATGAAAGTAGAATTTGAAAATAGTCAAGTATCAGCTGCTCCCTGAATTCTAAGTACGTAATTTTTTTTTCCTTAGCAACATTATGCAAATAGGTACCATTCCATAAGCATACATCGACAAAATAAAAAAATAATTTTAGGTACCATCTAATAGTTTTTCTGGGTGTCGTATAATATGAGAGCATTTGGTCGCTTCTATCAACACCAGACATACGTTTGTTATAGTCGACTACTACACTGGGTTTTTCTTGTTCTACTCCTCGTTTATTAGTTGTTTTTTGAGATCCAGGTCCATGCAATGTTGATATCATAAGCACATCGCGCTTGTCCTTCCATCAAATTATTCATTTTTCTGAAAGTGCTCTCTCCTTTGCGTAATTTGTAGTCAATTACCACTTTTGGGTTTCCTTTCCGGTTTTTTCTCAATGTTCCTACCACATGAGTCTTGTTTTATAAAGGAATTCTGCAAGTTTTACACTATTGTAATAATTATCTAAGTACAATGTGTGACCTTTTTCAATATATCGATCCGCAAGTTTTGTAACTACAGCTTGTGCATGGCCAATCTCATTGTTCACTGTCTCCTTTCCGGTATACACTAGACACTCCAAAACAAAGCCCTCTGGGGTGCAAAGTTCATACAGCTTTATTTCGTATTTCGCACTCTTATTGGGAATATATTGGCGAAATGTTAATCGTCCACGCCAAAGCAGCAAGGCTTCGTCTAAGGAGAGATCTCTTCCAGGATATAAAACTTTACGCATGTTTTCAAAAACATGGTCTGCAACTTTTTCAATTTTGTGCAAACGGGAAGTTTTTGCATCATCTTTCTTGGTAAAACACAAACACCGTAGAATCTGTTCGAATTTATTCCTTGACATGATATTTCCAAATATTGGGTGGGAATATAGTGGATTCGTACTCCAGTAGCACTTAATGTTTGGCATTTTTATGTTTCCCATTAGCATGCATAATGCGAGAAAACGGCGGAATTCATGGGGAGTAGTTGGTTTCCATTTATTTATTGTAGAATACTTCGGTATTACATTGCCAATAACTGACAGTGCACGTAAATTAATCCACTCGCAAATTTTTTGAAACAAGTCGTCATCAAACAGTATTTCAAATATATCTTTGGGAGTACATTCTTTTGATATATCTATAGTCGCTGTCATCTTGATTATATACTGGTGCACTGTCCATTTCAGGAACATTTTCATCAAGGTCACTAACTGCTTCATCACTGGTATGTTCCGAGTCACTAACTGGATTTTGTTCTACACTAAAACCCGATTCTGATGAAGGCTTGTAGCTACTGCCGGAATCTAAAAACATTTCAGGAATTTCATCAGGTTCTAGTATATCAGAAAGACTGTCATCATTTTCTGAGTTCATAATTCGGCCGCCTATTCTTGAAGCTTCTTCTCTGTTAGAATAGTTCTTTTATACATTACAGCAAAATCCTAAAAAAGTTATTCTCTAGCAACATTCAAAGGGGTTTTACTACATACAGTTTGTCAAACGTAGGCAAGAGTTTGAGAATCTCACAATCGTCATAACACCGCATGGCGATTGTAAGATTTTCAAACTCTTTCCTATATTTGACAAATATTATGTTACGTGTAAATATGAAATAACAATACGAAGCTTCTTACCTACGAAATCTAGTAATCGCAACAGCATATGTACAAAATCTTTATTTAGAGACTATGCGGTCCATATATATGACGACTTTTTTTAGGCTTATTACTACTATTTAGAATTGGCAATAAAATAATAAGCTGGTGTAGTATTTTATTTTAGTAAACACAGCCTTTTATGATTTTCTTTTATTGAAATAGACCATGCACCTGAAATAAGAAATATTTCGTAACATAACCATATTTTTCAAGTTTAGACCGACAGCGTTTTGTTTTATTTGTAGTAATAATCGTTGTATTGTAGTGGAATATCATACAAAATACCATACATAATACTAGGTAAAAAAAAACATACTTACATGGACTAAAAACAACAAAAAAACACAGCACAATTCAAAGACAATGTTGCACACGTGCTCGCTAAATTTCTACTAAACGGTAGGAGCTGCACACAGACCATTTGACTCATATATGCGCCTAACTTTTCTATAGACCACGTCCAAAACGAAATACGCTATCTGCGAACGTAACTATTTTATTCGACATTTCGAGCGGTGGGATCTCCGGTTCAAATGTGTGACGCTGGTCTGTGCGAGAAATCCGTGTGGCTCATATATGAGCCGCTTGGTAGCAAATGTGTTAAGTCAACAAAGACCATGTGAACTGGTCTATTTTTTGCCATTTGTTTCTTGGTCAACTGTTGGAGGGTATAAACGTCTGAGCAAAACCTTCCAGCTATAAATCCTACAACCACTTCGATTTTAGTTTTAATACTTTTTTCTATAACTAACGCCTCTTTGCTTCATTTTGTCTTATCTTCTTTCTTTTATCGAAATAATATATGTTTTGGAACATTCCTCTGATATTGCTTTTATATTTATTTTACTACTAAACAGTCTGTTTTATCATTTTATATAGTTTTTCTGTTCAATTCTTCTGGCTAAACAATGTAAACTTGGTAACCATTTTTAAAGACAGCAGAAAATAGTAAGAACTGATTTTTTTCAATCAATATATGTATCTAAAATAGATTTAAATGTATGTTTCATTTTTAGTCCTACGTAGTCTGCACATTAGGAATACACCGACTGAATTTAGTATTCTTGGCAATGGGACTATTACAATCAATAGCTGCGTGTACTCTTAGTATGTTACTAAGAACAATCAGAAGGTACTACGTTGTTGGTAAGTACAACTACAAATGTATATAGGGTTGGGCTAAAGCAGTGATCGTCAACATCTTCAACGTGTTGAGCTACTTTGTTAATTTTGAAATAAACAGCGAGCAACTCACACGGAAGCCACGTAACGCAACATAAAAGAAATAATCTACAGTTAATCTATCATTATATGTATTTATTTTACTGTTTAACTGTTAATCCATAATACATAGGTACTAATAATAAACTAATAACAAAATAACTAATATTACTAGTACGTACTTTTTCATAGCTACATTCCTACCTATCAAACGAAGGTATTTGAAAAATAAACACAAACTTTTATCCAGCAAAAAGTAACGCACTATCATAAACATAAACATTAAAAAATATAAAAGCACGTTCAATGAGAAGGCTAACACTCAGACTCATCGATATTTTTTTTAATGTTTGCAGTATATTCTGATGCAGCCATTCGAATACAATTATCCAAATGTTTATCTGTAAGTCGATTGCGATATTTGTTTTTAATAAACTTCATATTGGAAAAAGAAGATTCGCACAAATAGGTTAAACTGAATAATGCTGTCATTTTCAAGGCAACACGGCATAGAACTAAATATTTGTCTTTACTTACAATAGGCCAGATACATTCAGTACTTGAGACTAACGATTTTAAGGCTAAATCATTTTGAAACTCAATGACTTCCATTTCTGTTGCAGCGATGTCTTCGCCAAAGTTCTGCATAACACAAGCTGCAAACTGCTGGATATCAATTTCCATAAAGGGTGAAACAACAAACTGCGCTACTAAAGCAATTTCATTGAAATCCTTAAAACGATTTTTGAAGTTACTCTTCAGGGTAGAAATTATTTCTACATGATATTTGTTGTCATAGGGTTCTAATAGATTTTGAGATATTTTTTCTGGAAGAATAGGAAAATGCTTGGAATTGCTGTTAATTAGGTTTTGTCTCCAAAACTACAGCTTTTTGATAAATGTTTTTATATCAGAAATCATTTCCGCTAGTTCTTTGTCTCTCCCCTGAAGCTGCAAATTTCTCTGTAATGTCCACGAGAAAACCAAAATCTCTAAGCCAGATTGAATTTTCTAATTCCGGAGTCGGTTCATCGCGTTGTTTGAAAAATTGAACTATGCCAGATAGGACATCATTAAAACGTTTCAGCACCCGTCCTCTACTTAACCATCGGAATTCAGAGTAAAGGAGTAGGTCTCCGTATTGACAGTCAACTTCATCGGCCAAGGTTCTGAATAATCTTCTTTGTAACGCTTGAGCTCTAATCTTGTTCACAATTTTTACCACCAGTTTCATAACGTTGTTTAGTTTCAGGAAATTTCCACATAATGCTTGCTGATGGATAATGCAGTCGTAACAGAGAAATTGCAGAAAAGTTTTATCTTTACAACATAACGCCACCAGACCCTTATCACAACCCACCATAGCTGGAGCGCCATCGGTTGTCAAGTCTATCATTTTTGATATTGGAATTTTCTCGGAAGAAATAATATTTTTTAAATGAAAAAACAACTCCTGTCCAGTAGTGTGTCCTTTCAGTGAAATGAACTTCAAAATATCGTCTTTAATCGTAAAATCACTAAAAACCATCCTGACGAACACGGCCATCTGGGCAGTGTCAACGACATCTGTTGATTCAGCCAATTGAAGTGAAAAATAAACACAGTTATCTAAGCCAGTTCTTAACTGTAAAAAAATATCATTGCTTATTACTTCTATACGTCTCATCATTGTATTAGCAGAAAGTTTCATAGATTTTATAGCTGAAACTATTTCGTCTTTATTTCTAAAGTTGGAAAATAACGAATCAGCAGCTTCTAAAAACGCCTGTTTTATCATTTCTTCGTCTTCATAAGGTTTCTTTTTTTGTGCAATTATCTGGGACACACAATACGATGCTTCAGTTGCAGCCTTATTTTTGTCGAATATTCTTAAGAATATTGATTGTTGTCCAATTAACTGTTTTTTAACTGTTTCAGTTTCTCCTTTCTGGCGGCAGAATGTAGTGGAAATGATTTTTCAAAATTAGAATGTACAGTTTTATGATGTCTCTTAATATTTCCTTTTTTTAGCAACGAAGACCGAAGTATTACATAACAAACACACATTTTTATCTTTAACTTCTGTAAAAGAGTATTGTTCTTCTCATTCCGAATGAAAGTGATATGTCTTTACCTTCTTACAACTGCTTGCCATAATATTATTTTTGTTGTTCTCTACTAACCGAACCGCTGGACGTTGGTTACGCGTTCAGTTTTAAACTAAGCGCAATGTCGCCGCGCCGTGCGTATTTATCCCGTTCAAAGCAATACAGATCGTTCTCGAACACTAACGCGCTGGTCCGGCTGGTCGGTTCTATAATTAGCCGATTCTAGCTTGACGGCGTCAGGGGCAGATCGCTCACCACAATGTTGCCGCTGTTTATGTTTAATATTATAACAATTAGATTTTTTTGTGGAATTTTCGGAAGCTTCTCTGATTTTTGAAGTTTGTATTTTTTAAATTAAAATCGTTGTGAGAGCTACCAGAATTGTCTCCACGAGCTACCAGTAGCTCGCGATCGACAGGTTGGCGACCACTGGGCTAAAGTATGGAACCAAGTCAATATCTTCGAAACGAAAAAGACGATATTCATGAAACTTTGAATGCAAGTACAATAACACACAACGCATCTGAAGTCCTATTTTTTGTTACCACTCTATACTTCTGGTTTCACTGGAAATACCCTTAACTTATTTAATTTCAATGGGATACCCTATATATTTTTGCAGATCTTAAGAGATTATGTTATTAATAGTTCATACACACAACTACCAAGTACTTGGACCAAGTTTGATTAAAAAATTTTGTTAAAACGTTAAAACTTTAATAGTTAAGGATAAGTAAATTTATTTCTTAAGGCCAATCTGAATAATAATTATAAAAAATCTCTCCAAATGTTTAAAATGCTCACAGCTCACATCCTCACAATCACCCCAAACTTCCTTAACAAATTTGGCACTATATCATGGCATAAGTCGACGTTTTGTAAGAAAAATATTGAAAATTATGGTATAAATCGATGTTCTGTAAGGAAAATATAAAACAATAAATTGTATCATCAGGATAAGATAGTGTTAGTTCAAGAATAGCAAGACAATGATTTTGTTTTGTTTATTGCGAAGGTGGAAAGAGAAGATTATAAAAGAAATATAGCAGGCAAAGAAACAATGCATGAAACCACAAATCATATTGGAGAAAAAATGTGCAACCTAGCATCTGCAATAAACATATGTATAGTCGGTGGACTATACATAATGGACACAAACAGTAAAAGATGTGAGAACTTATAGAGGAGCAAATGCGGACACTGATACCTTATTATAAGTAGCAAACTTAAAGATGAAAATAATCAAAACAAATTTTAGCAAGGAGAGGAAAAGAAAAAATAGAACATAGATAAATGGAAAATACAAAAAACAAAACAACAGTATACTAAAGAATTAGGACATAAACTAGGAAGAAACAACAATGAGGATATAGAAAAGGAATGGCACAACATAAAAACAGCATAATAGAAATACCAAAACAAATAACAGACCCCAAAAAAATAAACAATAGAAAGCATGGTTTGATGAAGAACGTTACAAAAATAATCAAACTAAAACCACACGAGAACCACATGGCTAGAAAATGGAAGACAGGAACCACTAGAACAATGCCGAACAGAAAAGCAAGAAGCCACGAGACTCTTTATACGAAAGAACAAGACATGGATCTCTGAACAAATAAAACAATCAGAAATAAATAATAAGGATAACAAAAGACTGTTCGAATATATAAAATAAGAATACAGGATCAGAAAAACAACTGTAAAAATAAACAAAAAAGATTGTGGAAAGCATTTTACGGATCTATAGTAATAGAGATGCAGAGACGCACACCTTTCCGGAATTCATAGATGTTGTGAAGCAACTAAAACTAAACAAAGCTCCGGTTTCAGATAACATTAACATTAAACTGATTATAAACGAAGAGGAGCTGCTGAAACGGACGTACAAACTAATGGTAAAAATTTGAGAGGATGAAAACGTGCCTGTAAAATGTATTTTGACATTGTATTTATGTTATTTATAGTTTTTATATTATTTATATCCAGATTTAGCCGTACGGCTCACACTCCCGCTAAGGGGAAAATTCACTCACAAATACCTACGGTATCAGGAGTATTTAGCTCTGGTGGAACTCTTTTCGTTTTATCGAGCCCTAGGTGGCTTGATACGTCGATGTATCTCCCAAAAATTTTCGTACGCATCTGGACGTCGAAAGTAGTACAGCTTTCTGCAAGGTCTTCTAGAGATGTTGATTTAGGCCTAGCTTTTTGATGTTTTCAAGGAGGTTCTTTCGAATGACTCAAGTAGTAGCAAGAATAATAGGTATCGTCTGAATACTTTTCATTCTCCTGTATCCTTATTTGTATTTCCAGATCTCTGTACTTGGTGATCTTTTCGCTGTATTTAACACTCAGAATATTGTTGTTAGGTATCACCACATCCACATCCCGTGCTGGTCTTAGCTTTCGTGGAGAAGAAGCTCTGAACTGAGTAGGGGCTCTTTTGTACTCCACGGAAGACAGACTGGACGGGGGATGTCCTCAACCTCGACACGGCACGTCCCATATGGCTGATAGAGAAAGTTCCTGCAGATATGCAGGACAGGTACGAATAAGGCATTGCCAAATAAGTACCCGCAAAATTCAAGAGCTCTTTAATCTATGCCTATGGAATCAAAATATCCCAACAAAGTGGAATAATTCAATAACTGTACTCTTACACAAGAAGGGAGATATAGCAGACCTGGAAAGATACAGACCAATCAGTCTCCTTAACCATCTTTATAAATTATACACCCGAATAATAACGAATAGATTAGAGACAAAGCTGGATTTTTACCAACCTCGGGAACAAAC